ACATGTAAATTGACCTGCTATATCTAGTGGATTTAACCTGGTATGGAACAAAATTCTGTGTTTAGTTTTTAGGATCTGTGTAAATAGAAATTAATTTCATTGTTGTATTTTTGAAAAAAATATGTTTTGCATTTTGATTTATCAAAATTAAAATACAGTACCTAGTCTGAAATCCGGATTTGTCGGAACCTAGGCGATTCCGGATTTGGGATTTTTCCAGATATTAGATCACCAGCTTAAATCTAGTAAAGAAGGCATGTAGAAGTTATCAAAATAAAAATATGAAATTGTGATTTATGAAATAATGAAGCATTTATGATCTAATGGGTATCAAAATTTACAAAAAAAGAAAAAGGGAAGGGAAAAAAGCTTAATATTTATTTGTGTACTTTATTAAACATATCTTTGAATGTAAATTGTTAAAGTTGCTTTTTTTTTTTTGTGGCAGTATCTTTCTCTTCAATTCTATAGACAGACATAATTTCTTATTCAGTTATATAGTTCCACTGTTCAAGTCCCGTAGTTGCTGTGTCGAGAATTCTGACTAACTTCTCAAGCGAAATTTTTGCATTTTCAGTAACCTTTGAGTCACTTTCTTCACTATCGGTAGTGGTATTTTTTGGATTTAGAAACACATTGCTGATTTCGCCATATGTTAATTTATTGGTAATTGGAGCATTGTCATTGCAGTGAAAAACTTCTCTTATATCATCTCCATTTGTTACTGCTTCTCTACATTTCTTAACAAAATCCATTAATTGGAAAATTTCACCTGTGGTTTGTGATATCTGAAAGCCTTCAAATTCATGGCAGTCATCTTCATCTCCTCACCATAAAATATAGTAGCTGGCTATAAATTTTACGTCAAGCATTTTTTAAAGTATCTGAAGGCACATTCTCCCACGATCTTGCAATGCTCCACACAGCAGATTTTATGCTAAAATATTTCAAAAACTCTTTGAGTAGCTTTTCAGTTAGTTATTCAAGAAATTTTACAGGGATTTTAAGAATGCTACTTTATATTTTCATTTCAGCATGTGCACTATTCCAATATCAAAAGGTGAAATGATGGACAGACAATTTGGAGGAAAGAATTATACAGATACCTTATCTTTCATTAAAAATTTAATTGAAATATGAGTTGAACAGTTATCTGTAATCTGTGCAATTTTGGAGTCGTCAGGTAAACCAACCTAATTCAAATTTTCTGAGCCTCGAGTATGAAATGATTATCAAACCAGTCATACATTAACGCATGTGTCATCTGTACTGTTTTATTTGCATGATATATAAAGCGGAAATCTTAACTCCTTTAAATACTCAAGGTCATGTATTTTTTTGGAATTTTTGTGTAGAGGTTGCCAAAGTATTTCGTGGTACATATTGTCAGAAAAGACGTTTTATCAGCATTGTAAATTTGTCTTGGAGATAACATTTCACTATTAATGAGTTCATTGACTTCATCTGCAAGTAGTTTAGCAGCATCAATATCAGCTGAAGCTTTTTCACCTGAAATTTTTAATTCCATTATACCATGGCAATTTGTAAATTTGGTTAACCAACCTGTTGAATATGCGCACTCTGTTTTTTAAGTTCATTTCTTCATAAAACATTTTGGCTTAAGCCATTAGCATTGGACAAGGGAATGTCACGCCGTCGCTGCATCTCTGTCTGACCATTCAATCTTCACTCTGTCATGATCGTCATTTTAGCATATCGAATAATTTTCTATTATTCATTGCGAGTGGAGTGTCGGAATCCACAAAAAAAATTAATAAAATTTGTTTTTTCTGTTATGTCATATACAGTTGATTTTCCAACGCCATACTCTTGGCATAATTTTGAGGCGGATATACTTAAATGCATTTTTTTGCAGCAACTCCACTTTTTGTTTAATGGACATCGAAACATGCTTTTGCTTTGTAGATCCTATTGCAGCTCAAGAATTAGAAACTCTTTTCGACATAATCGAAAGTTCAGACTTTAATTTTTATAAAATTGCCGTAATTATAACACCCTGCAAAAGATAAAGCTGGATCAATGGAAAGTTAAGGAATCGCGCAAGCTGCCTATTAACCCCTTTGACAAGCGCGATATTTTTTTAAATTTTTTAAAAAAATCTCTAGAAGGTATATTGATCCTCTAAAAATAATATATCATTTATCCCCTACTCTGCTTCTTCTTTTTTTTGGTGTCCCTGTGAACCAGCACCGTCTAGGAAACTGCTGAGGTAGTTGGAGGGAACTCACATTTTTCTGTGTGCATTTCCAATAAATGACGAAATTTGTGATTTAAAAAAAAAAAAAAAAAAAGTATGTAAGAATTGCATTATATGTAAATTTTTTACATTATTTTACAAATCGTCAGAAAAAATTAAAAAATAAACATTTATGTAATTTTTCTATAGCTGTGAAAACATAAGAACCTATATAATAAAGATGTTTAGATAAATGGATTAAAAAAAAAACTTGGTTTTTTTTGGGGGGGGTGACACTGTTCAAAGCATGTTTTGTCTTTTTGGTACATGCATAGACCTATATTGCACGTTTCGCACATGTATTTTGTTCTATGAGGTTTCTCCCTTGTGCTAAAAAATGTACACTGCATTTTACTGGTATATGTCCAGTCCAGCATTATTTAGTCTCTTTTCATTTGGCACATGAAATTTTTGGTTTTTTTATATTAATGGGGGGGGGCTTGGTCTTTTTGGTTTAGGTACGGATCTTTTGTTCCTCATTCGTATTTCGTCCCAAAATATTTAAAATTTAAATAAAACTTATATGCGATTTCTATTTTTAATTATATCAAAATATATTGACATTATATTTAAACCACATGAAATAATTTATAAAATCACAATACTATCATAAGAAGCAAGCGTGTTGAGGTCAGAGAAAAATCTCTTGAAAAGAAAGACATTTTCACTGGGCAGGTGCATATATTGTTTAGCAATAAAATAACTCTGTGGTTTCAAAGCCCCATAACTATATCCGGGTAAAAATTAACATTCCTATTTGAAAAGCAGTAAACGCCATTGTGAAGAGCAGTGGTTTCAAGGCATGACTACTGAGCCTCTAGAGGATTGTGAGCATTGTAACACGATGCTCTAGTGGCTCAGTGATTGTGCCATGAAACCACAAAGCAAATGCCATACATATAGAGGGTTTTTTTTTTTTTTTTTTTTTATATATATATATATGCAGTTTAATTATTGCTATTTTTTTACTGTTTAAGGAAATTATTTTGTTTCATTGAAGCCGAATTTTAAAAGGCATCAATTTGAAGTATTGAGACCTAAAAAATCTATGATTCTGCTGTCATTTTGTGTTACTTAGAGGTAAAAGGTCAGTAATCAATTGGTTTTCAATCAAAAATTTCGGAAAGAAAGGGAGAAAAAAATTAGAAAATTAGTGGTTTCAAGGTGCGACCACCGTGCATCAAAGGGTTAACTGAAATTTTTTTAAATCAGTATAATTTTAGCCTAACTTAACAGCGTCTGCTATGTATTATTGGTTATGTAGCGTGGTGACAAAATGTTCTGTTAAATTTTGTCATGGTTCTATTGCACACTGAGAATGTATTAATTTAGTTATTTATTATACTTATGTCTAACTCTCATACATACTTAAGGCTTATCTGAGTCCTAAATAAATAAATTCCCATATTTACTCAAGCTTACTGAGAGCCAGTGCAGTCTCTGCAAATCCTTAGTTCTGCTACCAAGTGCATCCCCAAGTTCTAAATTTTTGCCACCCCTTAATTTTGGGTCCCAATGCTTTCCCTAAATTCTAAAAATTGTATCATCCCTTAATTTTTTTTTTTTTTTTTAAATTCAAAAATTCATCTTCCAATTCTGCACGTTCGGCCATGCGAATGGTGCGGTCATAGTTCCTTGTAAATTTAGTGCATTGAACTTAAATAATCAATAATCATCGCCAAACATAAGGTCAACATAAAAGGTTTCCATACTCTTTATTATTCAATTCCTAATATTAAAAAAAAAAAAAAAAAATGTGTAGACATCACTGCTTGAGTTATTACTCAAGTTGTCATGTGTTGATAAACATATAGTGATGAAAGCAAAATATAATGAATAATGATTCATCAGATTGCCATCAGGGATATAAAATATTAGTAGTTGTAAAATCAGCAGTCTTTCTCTGCAGAATGTTTTGGTTTGAGACTTCAATAACATATTTTATTTAGTGCAGAAGTAAAATTAAGAACATGAATTCTCCACATGTTTTCTTACGGGGGAAGGAAAATCAAATACACATGTGTGAAGCATAAAATAAATTCCTAAGAAAAATTTTTTGGATGGCTTTAAGGTCCAGATTTTAGATCATTTTGGATATTGGACATCCAGATTTCGGACTTCATACTGTATTTTATTTGTTTTTAACTGTGTTATCTTTTCTGAAATGAAATATAATAAATGAAAAGTATGTACTTTCTGCATAATAAATAGTAAATACATAATTGGTCTACTACAAAAAGAAAAAAGGAGAGACAGAACTTAATTTTTCTGGATTTGTTTTTAGAGGGGAAGTTATATGGTTAGAGTATGGTCCGATTTAGCTCGAATGCTTGTACTTCTTTTGTGCAAATAAGACTTCGAAATAGTATATTTTACCTGTGGTAAACATTGATTGCATTAAATGCTGTTTTCTCCATTTTAATGTGCTAATAAGCCATCAGAATGTAACAATTTTTATGTGGTAAAAGTGGACATGAATTAGTACAAGATGGTAGTTTCCTTAATTTACAAGAGTAAAAATATCCTGAATAGAAATATATTCCACAGTAAATACCCAGGTACTTTTTTTAAATGCGTCGATCATATTGTAAACCAACTTGGTTCCTAATTTAATTATCCTTTTTATGCAATACACGTTTTGTTAGATTGTACTGGAATATCTGAAATAACAAAGTATTTGTTTTATATTATTACTTTAAAAAATTATGTGTTTTAGGCAGAATTTTTACTTTCTTTCAAGGTTCCTACTAAGGGAAGTGGACTTCCAGCTTCTTCTCTTTCAGCATCCATGAATGCAGTTCAAATTGTTCAGCATAATCCTCAAGTGGGGACTACTCAACAGGTTAAAGGTCTTTCTGCAGCAATGACAGTACAGCAAATTCAGCAAGCAATGAAACAAATACCACCAAATTTACCAGTGGTAAGAAGAGCTTAATCAATATTATTGCTATTTTTAGTATTTTTTAAATAATTATAAACTTTTTTCAAGTAAAAGCATTATGGCAATATGTTTACTTCTTTTGGAACTGATTTTTTTCCTTGTGTCTTATTTTATATGAAAAAGCTTTGATAATTTCCTAGCTAATTACTAGTTTGCTTTCTGATTCTGTAAAAATGTTTCTGGTGCTGGCATTTAATTCCTTCTCTATCAGTTAGATACAGTCAAAAGTCATTAATACAGACTTCCATAATCCGGACCTCAGCTACAAACTTTCTGCACATGCGTCAACGCATAAGCTAAGCTAAAATTATCTATTTCTGTTAATGTTGCAGATTGTGTTGTTCCTTAATCTTCGAATTGGATCCGGCTTATTATTTTTTGTAGACTGTTAGAGCAATTTTATAAAAGTAAGCTTGAACTTTCGATTAAGTCAAATCGAGTTTCCGATGCTGGAGCTGCCAAAGGATCTACAAAGCGAAAGTATGTTTCCGATGTCCATCCAGAGTTGCCAACTCTCCCGCCAACCCGATTTACAATATATTTCTCCCGACTTTTTCTTATTCTTAAAATTTCTCACGATTTTTATGGAACTTGGCTTAATGCTTTGTTATATGAACAAAAAAAAAAAAAAAAAGTGATTTTGGACGTCTGAAAGCAGTTGAATTTTCTCTAGCTTATATCTAAAACAAAACCTTGCGAATTAGATAACTTCTGCTTTGTGAGTGAGAGCATATATGTATCCAGAAAGGTCGTTCTCCAGTTCTCCAATGGGCATCGTGCTCCACTGCGTGTCATCTGGCATATGTTAGCCAATGAGGACAAAGCAAACTGTTATTTGGATGTTCTTTAGTTATTTCGGTCATTTTGTCCTGAGTTGTGTGAGTACACATGCCTTCGGGAAATAGTTTTAGAAATTATCATCTTTTGTTATGTCTGTGAGAAAGGTGAAATACTCGTGTACATTTCAAAAATCCTACACAGTTGACTTTCCTTCCATTATTTCCTCAAGGAAATGTAATAAATTTGCAATGTGTACTGCCTGTCATTGCGAATTTTTTATTTCGCATGGTGGAAGGGCAGATGTTTGAGAACATCTGCGTACACAAAAACACAAGGACAACATGAGTTGTTTTGAAAAAAAAACGGAAAATTAAATTTTTCTTCAGAAACAGAGGACCAAAAAGTTATTAATGCAGAATGTCTGTTCTCTGCTTTTTTGCTGGAGTACAACCTGCCACTGAATGGATCGAATCATGCTGCAGCTTTATTTAGAAAAATGTTTCCCGATAGTGAGATCGCTAAGAAATATTCAAGTGCAAGAACAAAACAGGTGCAATTGTTAAAGAAATGAGTTTGAAAAATAAATCATCAGTTATTGATTGCAATAAAACAGCTCCGTTCTGCCTCTCTATGGATGGAAGCAATAATACCAATTCAAAACTATCCAATTGTTGTTTCTTTTTATAATCCAGAGTCTTCAGAAATTGAGTGCAGTTTACTTTCTGTCCCCACTTTAGAAGGACATTTGACAGGCTTTAATATACCACAGCTAATTATTAAAACTTTAAAAGAAAATGTAGTCCCTCTGGATTATTGCTTAGCACTTGGTGCCTGATAATACAGCAGTAATTGGTAAAGCTTGAATACTGGTGTTGCAGGCATCTTAAGAAAGGAAAAATTCAGATTTGGCAGATTATAAGGTGCACCTGTCACCCCTTAAATTTAGCAGCTGAAAAAAGGGAAGCTTCTTTACCAATAAATGTGGATGAACACATTGTTGATATTTATTATTATCTTGAAAGGAGTTCTAAAAAGAAGGAAAAATTGAAACAGTTCCAACAGCTGCATAACAGCAATTTACAATTAGAGAACTTGGATGAAGTTATAAAATCAGCTAGGATTGACACCCAGTGGAGTTTAATTGGAAAATTGAAAGATGTTGATGGAATTTTAAAATATAGTGAACTGTTTAGAATTATGTTGGCCATCTTGACAGTTCCCCATAGTAATGCAGAGTGTGAAAGGATTTTCAGTGTTGTTGCGAAAACGAGGACTAAATTTAGATCTAATATTCGTGATGACACATTAGAAAAACTTTTATTAGCGAAAGCAGGCCTACGTGGCAATTGCTATGAACAAAATTATGACGTTTCTTTCTTAAAGAAAGCAAAATCTGCCACTGTTTATAACATTTGTACGAAAACTGATTAAAGTTTTATTTTTCATTTTCTTAAACGATTGCAAGTAATAAAAATGTTTTTTTATGTGTAAGGTATTTTTGTGTTGCTTGCATTTAAGAATTAGTTACTATTTGAAATTAATTCATTATTAAAAACTATATTTTCATCATTTAAAGTCTTTTTAACATTGTGAAAAATCTCCCGATTTCTTAAAAAAATCTCCTGATTTTTGAGTGTCATAGGTTGGCAAGTATGTCCATCAAACAAAAAGTGGAATTGCTGCAAAAAATGGATGAAGGCATATCCTTTGTTTCTCTAACCATTCTGAAATCTGTTTATCAATTTCACGCTGCTCTGCGGGGGGGGGGGGGGGACTTCACGGCGTGCAATGAATTGGAATTTGATTTTTCAGCACTATCCGTATCTTCAGGGCAGATGTTTTTATTTTATTTGGCTTATAATTCCTTACTAAATGTAGTATTTCATCTCGATGTACTCCGCCTTTGATATGATTTAAATCAAATTCCTCGTCATTATAATTCGCTTCCGATAGTGAAGAAAGTGACACAGAGGTTATTGAAAATGAAAAAAATTTTGATTGACAAATTACTTGGTATTTTCGACACAGCAATTATAGGACTTCAACAGCGGAACTTTGTAACTGAACAAGAAATTATGTCTGTTTATAGAATTAAAGAGAAACTATTAGCACATAAAACGAAGCAACTTAAACAACTTACATTGAAAGAAATGTTTAATAAAATAAACAAATAAGTATTAAGTTTTTTTTTTTTTTTTTTTTTTTTTTTTATATATATATATATATACTCTTTAGATCATAATTGTTCTTTATTTCATAAATTACGTTTTCATATTTTTAATTTTATAATTTCTGCATGCCATCTTACCAGATTTAAACTGATGATCTATAATCCGGAATCGCCAAAGTCCCGACGAATCCGGATTAAAGACTTTTGACTGTATTAACTTTAAAATGCAAAATAAAATTTTTGCATTATTACCCATTGAACAAAAGTAAATCTTTTATTGAAATTTTAGATTTTTTTATTCAATTACTTAAACAGTTTCTGGTAAAAATAGCTGCAATGTGTCTGAGTATATATATATATATTAATCATTTGCTGTGTTAGTGAATTTATTTTAGATGCTTGAAAATAAGTTGAATAGGTTTAATTAAAATGAATATTTCTTTGAATTGTGTTAGACTGAATTTCATTCAATCATTCACTCATGTGAGAGGGACAAAAACAATCAGATCACATAATTCTTTTTTATTGAGAGAGGCCCTTTGAAATGTGATCCTATTTCCATGAAATCGGCAATAATTGGCTTACTTGTTTATTAATTTTTCTTCCTCATTTGTTGATTTTTTTACACTATTTACAAAGTTTTATAATTTACAATAGTTTAAAATCTACATTTCAAATAAAGTTTTATGATTACAATTTTTTCCTTCATTTTGGGACCGTTTAATTAATGTAAATAGTATTTTTAAAAGAAATGTTCAATCTTTAGCCTTTTTTCTGGACTATAATTTTGCACAGTGATTTCAGTGTTAGAATGGCTTTTTATAAAATTTCCAGGGGTAATGATTTCCGTACCTCTTCCACTGCTTTCCAAAGTCCATCCATTGTGTGGGGGGGGGGTTCACTTAGCAGAGCTCTTTTCAAGAGACCAAATATACAATAGTCCACATGTGAATCGTCAGGGAACTTCGCAGGAGTATGTTGAAAAATTATATGTGCAATACCTATATCAGTCCTCATTTTTTCAAAGTATGACTTGTTGCTTTGTCGTGATGAAGTTTCATGCTTTGAAAGTCATTGGGATAAAAAAAAAAAAATCACGCTTTGAAAGTCATGCGGGAAAAGATTCTTCTGTAAATGTATGATGTAAAACTTTCTCCTTTCCCCCCCCCCTCTTTTATTTTTAATTTCTTACGTTAAGAGAATCCTGTGGCAAAAATAAACTCCTCACTGAAACTTTCTTTGCATTGACCTTTTATGACCTTTTATGTTGCAGTCATTTAGGTAAATTAATGCTACATGAAGGGTCACAATGTATTTTTCATTTATCTCTTGCTAAATAGTTTTCGTACAAGGCTCTGCATTGAGCATCATGTCTTGGCAAAAGCTGGAGCACATTATAAGTTGTTGCCAGAAATTTTTATTCCACATCATTTGCCACGCCTTCTTTTTTTTAATTTTTTACCAAAATCATTCTAAAAAGGTATTGGTACCCTCTGTATGTAAATAAGTAATCAAAATTTGAAATTAAAGTTCCTGTATATTGCACGCCTGTTAGTAGCCAAGTAATTAAAGCTCTCCCGGTATTAGAATAGGGTGGTTGGCTGATATTTCTGTGGTTTTCCTCAAGTAGGTAAATGTGAAAAGTTTTCTTTAAAAGCCATCTGATCTAAATGTTTAGCCTTACGTTCTAAAGGTTTAGCATTTCACCATTGCTAGATCATCTGCCTCTTCATTCTAGAACTTAAAAAATACATATAGAAATTTATTTAGATTTTTTATTACATGTTTCATAAATTAAACTACAAAAAATATATAAAATGTTGATAAATACCAAAACAACTAAAAAAAATACATTATTTAGATTTGGTAATTTTTTTCCATGTTTTATAAATTAAGAAACAAAGTTTTGATTAATATCAAAACTTGAAAGTAGTTTATATATATATATATATATTCATAAAAAACTCTTGGCCTTTAGCCTAATACAAGATCTGACCGATCATAAAAAGCAAACATGTGCTGATGTTTA